AGGGATATTAAATAGCATAATGAATCTGAACATATAATCTTCCACCAAATAAGATGTAATCAACACTATTAGTCACCCACAGGTACCAATCTGAGGTTTTGATACAAAGATTGAACACAAGAGATGAACTAGAGTTTGAGATGATATGGTGTTGTTGAAGATGTTGATGAAGATTGGCCTCCCAAAGATGAGAGGGTTGTTGGTGATGACGATGGCTTCGATTTCCCCCTCCCGGAGGGAAGTTCACCTGGTAGAATCGCTCCACCGGAGGGCAAAAGTGCTCCTGCCCAAGTTCCGCCTCAAGACGACAACACTCCGTCCCGAAAGTCCTCTCCTTACTTGTTCACGTCAAAAGACCTTATGTACCAGAAGATGGGCACCGGAGGTGGGCCAAGGCCTCCACTACCCACCAAGGCGCGCCAGGGGGAGGTGCTCCCTGGTGCCTTGTGGGCGACTAGGTGAACCCCTATGGTAGTTCTTTATTCCAATATTTTTATATATTCAAAATTAATTCTCCGTGAAATTTCAGCTCATTTGGAGATGTGCAGAACAGATATCTCTGACATAGCTTTTTCAGGTCCAGAATTCCAGCTACCGACATTCTCCCTCTTTGTGTAAACCTTGCATATTATGAGAGAAAAGGCATTAGAATTACTCCATAAAGTGTTATAACGAATAAAAACACTACGAATAACAGTAGGAAAACATGATGCAAAATGGACGTATCAACTACCATGGTGTTGTTTTTGTGCAGAAATAAAAGTTATCGGAATTGGAGGAAACTTTTTGGAGATTTTTTATGAAATAAATGAAAAATATTGGAACCAAGACCCACTAGAGGGGGGCCACCCTATAACCACAAGGCACTAGGGTGTGCCTACCCCTAGGCGTACCCTGGTGGGTGGTGTGGCCCCCATGGCTCCGCTGGCCCTAATCTGGATACTATAAATTCCTATTTTCCGAGAAAAAAATAAGATAGAAATTTTCATCACGTTTCATGATACGGAGCCGCCGCCACCTCCTGTTCTTCATCGCAAGGATAGATCTGGAGTCCGTTCGGGGCTCCAGAGAGGGGGATTCGCCGCCATCGTAATCATCAACCATCCTCCATCATCAATTTCAAGACGCTCACCACCGGGAGTGAGTAATCTCTTTGTAGGCTTGCTGGACAGTGATGGGTTGGATGAGATTCATCATGTAATTGAGTTAGTTTTGTTAGGGCTTCATCCGTAGTATCCACTATGTTCTAAGATTGATGTTGCTATGACTTTGCTATGCTTAATGCTTGTCACTAGGGCCCGAGTGCCATGATTTCAGATCTGGACCGTTTATATTTTCGCGAATATATTTGTGCTCTTGATCCTACCATGCAAGTTATATGCACCTATTACGTGTTATGATCCGCATACCCCAAGGTGACAATAATTGGGATTCTTTCCAGTGATTACGATAATTTGAGGAGTTTATGTATTCACTATGTGTTAATACTTTGTTCCGGTTCTCTATTAAAAGGAGACCTTAATATTCCTTAGTTTCCTTATGGACCCCGCTACCACGGGAGGGTAGGACAAAATATGTCATGCAAGTTCTTTTCCATAAGCACGTAAGACTATATACGGAATACATGCGTACATTACATTGATGAATCGGAGATAGTTTGGTGTCGCCCTAGGTTATGACTATTATATGATGAATATTATCCAACAAAATCACCGATCCAATGCCTACGAGCTTTTCACATATTGATCTTTGCTAAGTTACCACTACTTCTATTACTATCACTATTGCTATTGCTACGAACGCTATCAAATTATCATACTACTGTGCTAGTGATCACTCTGCAAGATATATTTAGTTCTATAGGTGTGGTTGAATTAACAACTCAACTGTTAATACTTACAAATATCCTTTGGCTTCCCTTGTGTCGAGTCAATAAATTTGGGTTGAATATTCTACCCTCGAAAACTATTGCAATCCCCTATATTTGTGGGTTATCAATGATCTCCATGGAGTTCTATCCGACGCAATCTTCTTTTGCGGTGTGTTTGTTGGGATCCGATGAATTTTTGGTTTATGATCAGATTATTCATTAAAAGTAATTGAGTCTTTTCTGTACTTTGTTATGCTTGATTGTTATAGCTTTGTATTTCTCTCTGATCTATCCATTTGGTTTGACCAACTAGATTGATTTATGTTCAGTAGGAGAGGTGCTTTGTGATGGGTTCAATCTTACAGTGTCCTCAACCAGTGACAGAAGGGGTTGCGAGGCACATATTTGTATTGTTGCCATGAAGGATAAAATGATGGGGTTTAATCATATTGCTTGGTTTTATTCTATCTACATCATGTCATCTTGCTTAAAGCGTTACTCTGTTTGTCATGAACTTAATACCATATATGAAGTCAGGTATCGGTCGATTGGTGGAGTAATAGTAGTCGATGCAGGCAGGAGTCGATCAACTTGTCACGGACATGATGCCTATAGACATGATCATTGTCATGAATGATGTCATAACTATGCGCTTTTCTATCAATTTCCCAACAGTAATTTGTCTACCCACCGTATGATATTGTTTCGAGAGAGAAGCCTCTAATGAAAACTATGACCCCCAGGTCTACTTTAATTATATTACTAAAATAAAAAAGACCTTGCTGCAATTTATTTACTTTTATTTTTATCTATTTACCACTACCAGATTTAATCCTTGCAAGTAACGAGTTCAAGGGGATTTACGACCCTCTTCCCGCGTTGGGTGCAAGTATTTGCTCTTGTGTGTGCAGGTGATGTTCACTGGGATTTGTGTGGTTCTTCTATTGGTTCAGTAACCTTGGTTCTAACCAAGGAAAGTACTTATCAGCTACTATATTTCTTCACCCTTCCTCTTCGGGGAAAATCCCAATGTAGCCCACAAGTAGCAATGGGCAAAACAAGATCAACACCGAATTACCGCTGGTGTAAAGGAAGTTATGTAAACTAGATTATTGACTCCAGTGTATGTGAGAGACTGTTGAAAATATGCCCTGGAGGCAATAATATTTGAGTATTATTTATTTCCGAGTTTATAATTAATGTTTATACTCTATGTTATAATTGTTATGGTTCTCAAACCTGTGATAACCAAGAGGCTCAGAGGAAAACGCATGTACACGTGTAGAGTTATAAACGGTAAAACAAGATTCCTAGTCTTGCATCTAGTACTTTCCCAAGTATTGTATGGTGGTTCTGTTGTCCTAATCATGGGCATGACTATAATGCCCAACAACATTGAGCATGATGTTGGTAGAACACTTGTGTTGAACTGATCCAAATTGTATGTTATACTTAGAGATGGAATCGTTGCAAGTCTAGTTCATAACACGTGCAGTTGACATATGTATAATTCCTTAGACCATGAGAGTATCGATCCATTCCATGCCGGACGATGCACTTTGGGATTGTTCTAACGTCAACCATAACAGGGTGATCATAACGACGACAACTTACAGGTTCATCGAAAATGTATGTTGAGGGGCTAGATAGACTATGATTTTGCTCCTTCGACGTGGAGAGATATTCTCATGGCCCTTCCGGTGTGATGACATCTATTATCGCCTGACCATACACATCGTGAGCTTGATCACGGGGCTGCCAACCATCCAGCCTGTTTGTAACACATGTCCGAAGTGGCTCTTTGATGTGCTTAAACCGCTCTCAGAAACATCTCGTATGCCCCTCTTGAAGACTATGTGGCGCTCGTGACACGTATGCAATGAGATCACTCACGACAAAGCCCCTCCACCAACCGAAGCATCTCATCGATTCCTACACAACTCCTAACTTCTTTACTATGCTTCCAACAATTCCTTACAAATGATATGTGCAAAAGACAAGATGGTTCTAATAGACTCGGTGCTCCGAGTTGCATCGGGAACCAGTACCAGTCGAGCGCCCGACGGCAATACTGACTACATGCAGGGTAGCAGCAGCACACCCGCCAGAGTGCCTGCATCTGCATGCAACAGTACAAGCGTGCCTGCTCGTTGCAGGGCCATAGCGCCAAGAGCTGGTCTAGGTCAACCACCAGGTGAAAGATGGAGTGCCACCTCCGGGATGGCACAAGCTTAACATGGACAACGCTTTTTTTTTTAATGAAGGCAAAAGATTTGCCTCATCCATTAATTAAGCAGAAGAGAATTGCCCAGTTAATCAACGAAAAACCGGGCGAAAACCGTCACAAACCACTGAGCGGCACACAAAGATATCCCAAGCACACCTTTACAAAGAGTGTCTCGTCAAGCTAGCACACAAGCGTCATCGTCATCACTTCTCCCCAAACAGGCGTCATCGCCATCCCTAATCCCCGAGCAAGCGACTCCGACTTCGACGTGGAGAAACATCGAACCAACACCCACCGTAGAGGTTGTGTAGGAAAACATGAAGATCCATGCCAGAACTCAACTACCCGCATCGAGGGAGACACAGCTCCAACTCTGAAGCAAAGACCCAAAGGAGAACTATGCAAGATTGGCATCGTTGAAGACCACCGAACGAGCCACCTGCTGCATGTCATCGTTGCCAGAGGGGCCCCACCGGTGCAGCTCCGACCACCACAACAACCAAATCGAGGTAATCCCACGAACATGCCAAAGAAGAGCCGACTACCACTGCAAAGTCTCCGACTTCACTTGCCATATCGTTGTTGGCACAGAAGCCTCGACGCCACACCAACGCATACCACCAACCTCCCAACACACCAGCTGGTCCCTCTGAATGGATTGAGCTCCAAAATCGATGCCCTCGAGAGGGAAACGCCGCCAACACGCCACTAATGACCGACCCTCCGGGTCTGGGGTTTTCCCCAAAGCTGTCCCTCGCAGAGGAAGAGAGAGCATCCTGCTGACGCCTTCAAGAAGGTTACGATGTCCACAGACGCCACCTTCAAACGCTCCGGCCATGGCAAGAGACGGGTTTTCACCTAACCCTCATAATCCTCTAGTCGACAGCCAATCCGGCAATCCACATGCCCTCGCTGTATCTCCACACGTCCTCCACCTCGACAGCCAAAAACTGGTCGCTGCCTAGAGCCGCCACCAGGCCGGACTTGATGCAGAGAGGCCGACGGAGCCCGCCCCTAGCGGCCAGCCCAAGATGCGCCCCTTCCGCATCCGCACCGCGCCTCGCCGGCACCCCTGCCAGAGTGCCTGAAACCGCGCCAACGCCCACAGCGCGACCTCGCCACACATGCGACGCGAACCGCCGCCCCTTGCCACCTCGCACGATCCACGCGACAGCTTCTGCAGATCTGCGTGCACCACATTTTGGCGCCCCTGTCGCAACCTCGAGTGACCGCGTCGCTCCTTGCCGTCGTCAGATCGACGAACCCCTTGACGGCGTCCCTGAATGCCAAATCCCGCGCTGCTTGAGGCCGCCACGAGCCAACCGACGCGCCGCCCAACCGACGGCGCTTTTCTAGCGCAGGCAGGAAACGAGGCTCCGGTATGGTGCTCTGGGACAACTCAGGCGATATCATCTTCACATCCTGCCCATAATTTATTCACACTAGATCAGCAACGCGCCTTGGCGCGAGGGTGCCGGTCCAACTAATATGACCAAGCAGTGGAGATCAAGCCGCATGATGCATTAGTAGGATAGCAAGTTTAGCACATGTAACATGACAACTTAATCAAAGAGGTGCTACTTGCAGTTGCCGAAACCCAACTCCCACATGCGTGTGTCTATTAAAGATGGAAATGCAGAGAGTATATGAAGGAATTAATCAAAAAAAACTCAATGATCAAAACCTTGATATAGCTCTTTTTCTATTAACATGTGGTATTACTCAATATACCCCAGGATGGAAATATATCTGATATTACTCAAAGAGTAGGCGATGACAGATACTCACTACAGTAATCACCCTGTAAAATATCTACAAAAATGGCCATATCTACATGCATCGGCGCATTTGTCATGCAATGTGACATGAAATACCTAAGCAAGGTTTGGTACGATAGAAACCAAAAGCAGGCCATAGTATTAGTCCCAGATAACTTATGTACACTGTTTTTCATACTGCACAATAGTAAACTACATGATTGACTATTGGATATATAACTTTGTCCACACGCCTTCATCTGATTTGCTCGATATATAACTTTGTCCACACTAATTCATTTGATTTGCTTGCATGTTGTGACACACGGATCTGCTAAAGGACATATCTTGTTAGGCAAACTGTTCAAACAGTGCGTCTCATGGACAGGGAGAAAATAATTGGGTCTATATGAAGGAGAATCACTCTGGATAATATACAATGACCTGGATACAGTGTAGCCTCTTTAACATAAAAGAATATAAAAGATAAAATTAAAATTATTTTAGTATTCTACATGGCCTACAATATGCAAAGGTGAGTCTGGTTATCATTCAGTAAGTTAACAAAAATATAAGCTCAGTTGGCAACTCTCTCTGAACAAATCATGCAGCAATAATAGTGACAACAAAGCAATTAACTACATGAAGGTCATATAAAAAACAGAGTTTAAATCATCACACTGTCTGGATCAAAATATTACTACTCATTTACTACTATCTCTAAGCATCTACAAACCCTATATCAGTGTTTACATCTGTGAGTACTTCCTTTGATTACAAAAATTACGGAGTCACACTGATCATTTTTTTGCAGCAGTCCAGTAAAACCAAAGAGGGGACATGACGTATATCAGCTGACCTATGCAAGTGCTCGGAGATGGCTGTTAGTGGAACCAGCTGAACCTAGCAAGCCATGAACCTAGATCTCTTCGTCAGCCATCGCGACCTAAACAGATCCAAGAAATTTCACAGAGTAGCTCAAAGCTCGACGCATAACTTTGGCAAAAACGAATGGACCAAAAACACAGAGTCTGATAGATAAAAAATAGAGCAAGTCATTTATATACAAAGCAAGACACTCACAGGTCATTCATAATAGTTAGATCAAGTCATTTGTACAGAAAAATCTGAAGGTTGAGTAGTGCATTAGAGGGTAGCCGCATAGTGCAGGAAACATACATTAGAGGGTAGCCGCGCAGTGCAGAAAACATATCCCACTGCTATGGACAGAAGTGTAGAACATCACAATCCACTCATTTTGTTCTGTGAGTACATCCTTCAACGATAAAAGTATCTACAAATTCCAAGGTGGTCCAACATGATATAAAGTGTGGTCAACTTGAGTCGTCAAAAATGATTTAGAGACAACATAAGTGGTTGAAATATATATAAGAAACAAAAAAAGTACATGCGAACGACAACACACAAATTCCAATTGGATTTCTTGCACAAACAGAAATGCAGGATACAAAGCCGAAGTTGATAACTTTCGGCAAACCTTGATATAGGTGGACGAATCCAATAATAACTTAAAACTTTGACAACATATTCTGCTTGGTTTCTTTATAATTCTTTTTAACATGAGAATGCAAGAAACTCATTTCCTTGTGAAACCTCAGACGGTTGATGGATACCCCATGGAGTAAGATCCTTATATATGGCATGTCACTTTTGTTGTTGCTAGAAACCCGTATCATTTCCACTCTCTTTTCAATGAAATGAAATGCAAAGGTCCTTTGCGTTTTCTTAAAAAAAACTTAACAGAAGTTGCAGAATATATAATGTGTAGAGCCACACACAGCAAAAGTTATCTCTAGTTACAACTTCTAAGCACTATTATCTCTGAATGCCTAGCTGTTGGCTGCAGTATAGATAAAGTTCGGCAAGTATGAAACACACATGGTACTGAGCTGCTGATAACTACAAGAAAGTTAAGTAAGTGGCTTGCCTGTAGACGACTTGCAACATTTTCCCTAGTGAGTTTTTCAACATTCATGAGGTCAAGTATCCTTTTCGGCACACCTTCTGCATAAACATGAAAGAATAGTGAGAAAAAAAGTTACTCCAGAAAAAAGTAGCTACAGAGAAGGAAGGTAAGTTCTTGCTGTCAATTCCAAGATGGTTGACAGCATAGATGAATTTTATATGTAGTTCAACGGATCAAACAACATGCTGCCAGATATTCCTAAGCTCCTCGATGCGAACGGGTTTTAGGAGATAGTTGCAGGCACCATGAGTTATCTCCTGCATTACAGTTTTTGTTTCTCCATTCACAGATAACACTACATGGAAAATAATTGGTTAGCACTGACATTTTTGCTTCCTCAATCAGAAGTACAAATCATAAGATTCGCTGTGCTGAATTCACATTTTGCATATAAAAGAATATACATCCAACAACTTTATAGCAAGGACTTGCTTACAGTCAAACCTGTCAAGATTACAACGTGCAGCCATATTACAACGTATCACCTAATTTAGAGCCACGTGCATGACTGAACAAACAATGAAAAATCACAATACATATACTTAAGAGTATATAAAGGTTGCTCACTGTATTGCACCATACAAGGTATAAAAACAGAATTGCAGAGCACTTGCAGACTTGTATTGTATCAAACTACAGACTTGGAGGAGGAGGGGCACTTGTGCATACATGTTCATTTCAGAGCCGTCATCGTCGATGGGCTAGACTTGGAAGAGGAGGAGGAGTCGTCGTCGATCAAAAAATTAAGAATTTGCAATGGTTCAGAACTCAATGATCTAGTAATTTGTTTAAAACTACTGAATTTGTTTAAAACTTACAGATGCAATGGTCAGAACTTAATAGTTCGGAACTCTACTGAATTTGTTTAAAACTTACTCCACAACATAAATGATTACAACAGATTTACAAAACAGAGAGACCATAGTACAGAACAGAGTTTTAAAAACTCAGTTTTAAATTGTGAAACAGCAGCTTAATGCAGCAGGACCATTCAACATTCAGTTTTGACCAAAACTGAGATGGAGCAGTTGTGGAGTACCTTCAGGCTAGAGCAGGGGTGGAGGGGCGTCCTCCATGGCATCGGGGGCACGAACCGGAGCAGGGGTGGAGCAGCGTCCTCCATGGCGTCGGTGTTCGGGTGCCTGAGCGAGCTACAGAGCTGCGCGGTGGGGATCTGGGAGGGAGATAGGATGGGGTGAGGAAGATACGATGGGATGTGGATGAGTGGAGGGACTTACAGGATCCTCGCTGGAGCTGAAGTACGCTGTAGAAGCCCTCCTCGTCGTCTCCAGTTATCTGCCCGCGCTCCAGGCACAACCGCGCAGTTCCGCCTTAGGTCGTGTAGCTATCCTGCTCTTCCGCGCGTCTCCGCTGCTCTCTCCTGCCTGCTCCCCTGCACCGACTCGCCTGCCTCCTCGCATCCCACCTCGTGCGGTGCGGGGCGGCCGACCGGGCGAAGGAGATGACGGCGGCGGGGCAGGAAGGCCGGTGCGGGGCTAGGGTTTGGATGGGGAGAGAGGGATGAGGTGGGAGGAAGAGGAGAGGGGGCGGCTGCTTGGTGGCGGGCTTCGACTCTTGGGCGACGGGCGGGGACTGCTGCTTCTGCGGCAGGGAGGGGCGATGGGGAGGAGAAGGCGCGGGACGGGGAGGATGGCTGGCGGCAGCGGGGAGGAAGGGAGAGTGGGCTCGAGGGGAACGACCCAGCTCGCTCTCAGCCTCTCTCGCCCTAGCGCTATCAAGCACTTTTCTAACCAGGTGAAATAACAAAAATGCCCTCGGCGGGGCACAGGAATAACAGGCGGTGGCACAAATTTTTTACACTGTTTCGATCTACAGTGCCTCTTTTCGATCCAACGTTCCAGATCCCTTCATCTCGTGATCGAACAGTCTATAACGCATCAAACAAAGCATCCAACGGCCAGAAATCGCTAAACTCCAAGGAACCTGGGTTCCTCCCACTATGTATCTTACCCTGATGCGATAATTTTCTTGCTACGAAACTAGAGAGGGAATTGCTTTAACCCTGGAGTGGAGCACACTTTCATTTATTCTTGAGACAAATAGTGCCGAGGCTGCCGCAATGATTGCCAATCCTTGAAAAAACAATTCGCAACATGCCGCCGTCATTCAGGAGATCGCCAACATGATGAGAGGAGGTAGAAAGGTAGTAGTGGTGAAAGCTATTACGACGGGGTGTAATCATGTTAGCCACCACTACTTAGCTTAGATGGGTAGATATGAGATAAAGACGGCTGTATGATTACGGTCAGACACTGAGATGGTTGTAAACTTGTGTCTTTGATGGTGTGTCCGGGGTGTTGCCCCGGTCTTATTCGTTCAACGGTAAAGGCTTCATTTTTGATGAGCCATCTTGGAGGCCCGCAAAACTGCATATCAGCGATGGAGCCGCGTCGAACCCGGGTGAGAAGGTGATCCGTCATTCTTTTTTTTTTTGGTGGCTGTTGTGATGGTGCCGGAGACAAGTGACTGGTGTTGGTTTCAAGCTCAGAGATGTTCTACTATTTTTTTCAGTTTTGTCATGTCGGTCCTTACGTGATTTGTATTTTTGATCTTTATAATATAAATGAGACACGTATTACTATGCGTGTCAT